CCAAAATCAGGGAGAAGCAGGCAAGGCCGTGAGGCCACCCTTCCCTTCGTCTCCACCCTATCCCCTCATTTGGGTTCTGTCCGTGGTTTCTGGCCCCACTCCCCGAGACCGGAGCCCTCGGTACCCTATTCCCTTTACAAATCCTCACCCCAAGCCCAGCTCCCAGGCGCCCGCCCCCCGCCCAGCTTTCTTTTGGGCAAAATGAAGGTCGTGGGGGCTGGAGGGCCAGGCCCACAGCGCTTCGCAGCGCCGCACCAGCCCGCGCTGCACCAGCTGCCAGATCCGGGGACCCTCCCGTCACCTCTCCTGTGCCCCGCCAGACCTGCGGAGGCGGCGGCACCCCCATTTCTCTATGGAGCCTTGGCTGCTATATCCCCAGAATCTAGGGGCTGCCGAGGGCACTGGGGGGTGATGGGGACCGAGGGCTGAGAGCGTCTCCCCCGCCCCCAGTGGCTTCCTCCTCCTGCCCTGCTTCCTTCTGCCCCGGGCCTCCGGCGGTGCCTCCAGACCTGGGCTGCTGGTAGCTGGACCAGGCTTTGTGCGGGCCTGGGGGATGGGTGGAGTAAGGAGTTCTACCCGCGCCCCCCACTCCCGGATTTTGTGGAGCACCCCCTGGCACTGGCGTAGAAAGCTGAGGAGGGGAAATGTCAGTGGGAAAGAGGAACCTGGGGGAAGTGGGAGCTGGGTGGGGGACGCCTGGGCCGGCCCAGTGCAGTGTGCGTGGCCGTATCACACAGGTGTCCCGCGGGGATGGGGGGGTAACAGGACTCTGGCGCCTGGAGCGGAGCAAGCCAGGTCCCTGGGGCCCCGGCGCCGAGCCCGCGGGCTGGGCCCTTCGGGTGTCCAGGGCGCTGGGGCCCGGCCGCCTGGGGCCGCCTGCCCGCGCCTGGGAGAGAGCAGCTCCGCGCCTCGGGGCCGGGGACCTCGCTGCGGAGCCGTAATTACTCGAGAGCGGCCCCCACGGGCTTTCTGTGGGCGCGGCGGAGCGGGCGGCCTCGGCGCTGGAGGGAACAACCGCTCCGGGCTGCCTTCCCCGCCGCTGTCGCCCCCACCCGCGGCGGACGGCTAATGGGGCGCAGCCGGACCGGGGATTATCCGGGGTGAGCCGTCCAGAACCTATTAGCGCCCAATCGGCTTTTCCCAAATCCTGTAAACAGCCACCCGGGCCGGTTCTGGGGAGGGGCGGGAGGCTGGGTCGGGCGGGGGCGATGGGGCCGGGGGTGGGGTCACCCACCCTACAGGTCTCTGCCGTGGATGCGGTTGCCTTAGTAACGGGGCTAGGGTGGGGGCATTTCACCAATGAGGTGCTCTCGGTCCGGGTGACGGTTGCCTAGGCAACCCCACGAACAGCCCAGCTTTCCCCTCTGGTCTTCCCCCCCCCACCCGCCACTGTCGAAGCTGGGGGTGTGTGTGGAGGGTGTGCGGCGTGTGGGGGTGAATTTCAAGAGGCACCGCCCCTTTTAAAATTAGGTGCTTGGAGGGCGGTGCCTGTGCGGGCTGGGGCAGACGCCAGGTCTGTTTTCGAAGGGATACCCCCCCCCCAGTTCCTGCCGCGGGTGTCCCGCCAGGGCTGTGTCCGAGGGAGGGGTTTCCCCTGCGCTTCCTCTTGCACTTCCCGCTCCGTTTCCGGGGGGCGGGAGGAAGATTGGGGAAGTCGGCTCTTACTCTTCGACGTCTCCGGTGCCGGAGACCCTGGTTGTGCCCCTGGACCCGGCCGCGCCGCCCCTTCCCCCTCCCCGTGCTTACCCCTTCCGGGCCGCGCTGCAACCCCGCCTTTCCCCCCACTTCCCCGGCGGCCTCGGGCCTGACGTCAGCCCTGCATCCCCCAGGCCTCGGGCCAGCGGCCAGGAGCTGCCTCCCCCAGCCCCCGTCCCGCGGCCCCCAGCCGCCCCCAACCCCGCCCCACGGGCCCGGCGCCATGAGTGAGCTGGAGCAATTGAGACAGGAGGCCGAGCAGCTCCGGAACCAGATCCGGGTGAGGGCCTGGCGCAGGGGTGGGTGGTTTATGTGTATCCCACCGGGTGCCCTGGGCTGGGCTGGGTTTGGGTTTTTCTGGGGGTTGGTGGGGGGCAGGGGGAGGGAGGCTTTAATGGCTCAGCACCTGACCCTGCCCACTCCTGTCTTCTGTTCTCTTCCCTTCTTCCCTTTCCAACCTGCCTTCTCTCGCGTCTCTCTGGCTCTGCCACCTTCTACAGGATGCCCGAAAAGCATGTGGGGACTCAACACTGACCCAGGTGAGGGCACTCAGTTGGGGGGGGTGACTGGGGGTTGTAGGGGTGAGGATTGGAGGGCGCTGCTCTCTGCAGTCCTGCTGCCTGGGCCTCCCCGAGCCCATTTTGTCTCCACCTCCAGATCACAGCTGGGCTGGACCCAGTGGGGAGAATCCAGATGAGGACCCGGAGGACCCTCCGTGGGCATCTGGCAAAGATCTATGCCATGCACTGGGGGACCGACTCAAGGTGTGTGTGTGTAGGGGGGCGGTGGGATACGGGCTGGTGCTGTGAGCTGGCTTTGGTAGCAGGCTGTGGGGGCAGCCTCAGATCTGGTGGGGTGAGCAGGCTGCCAGAATAGCCAGAATGTGTCTGGAAAGATGGTGACTCCCAGACATGCCTGCCAGACCTGGATAGGCAGGATCATTTCAGAACTTGTGGGGTGCAGCCAGAGATTGTCTCTCAGGTGACTCACACCCGTAATCCCAGCAGTTTGGGAGGCCAGGGCAGGATTGCTTGAACCCAGGAGTTTGAGATCAGCCTTGTAGTCCCAGCTATGTTGCGGAGGCTGAGGTGGGGGGATTGTTTGAATTTAGGAGTTCCAGGTTGCAGTGAGCTCTGATGGCACCACTGTACTCTAGCCTGGGCAACAGAGAAAGACCCTACCTCCTCCCACCCAATGGGAGGGAGGTGTGTCTTGCTTTCAAGCCACAACCCTCTGCTTTCCCCGAACTGTTTCCCACCAGGCTGCTGGTCAGCGCCTCCCAGGATGGGAAGCTCATCATCTGGGACAGCTACACCACCAACAAAGTAGGGTGGCACGGGCTGCTGGGCGGGGTGGGGGCGCAGGGCCCTGGCTGGCTCTGACTTGGGCGCTGCTCCTGCTCCGCAGGTCCACGCCATCCCGCTACGCTCCTCCTGGGTCATGACCTGTGCCTACGCGCCCTCAGGGAACTTTGTGGCCTGTGGGGGTTTGGACAACATCTGCTCCATCTACAGCCTCAAGACCCGAGAGGGCAATGTCAGGGTCAGCCGGGAGCTGCCTGGCCACACTGGTGAGGGGCCTGACCTGGCTCGGGCCCTTTTTGGGGTCGGTGGGGGGTACACTGCCTTCCGTGTGGAGACCTGGCTGACTAGCTCCTTCCCCAGGGTACCTGTCGTGCTGCCGCTTCCTGGATGACAACCAAATCATCACCAGCTCTGGGGATACCACCTGGTGAGGCTCTGCCAGGGCTGGGCAGTCTGGGGGAACCCACACTTCCTGCCTCGGGGGCCACTGTCCCAGTGCTCAGCACACAGCTTGCACCGTAGCCTCCCTCTCCTGGTGGGCAATAAGGGGGTCAGGGAGGGATGCATCCCCCGCACCTAAGGCTCTGACAAGAGCCTCCTTGGATCCTTCCACAGGACTGGGCTCATGTGGTGGGGCGGGGAGAGCAGGGACTCTGTCCTTTGCTCTGTCTCTTATCTTTTCCTTCTTCCTATCACCTCTCCAGTGCCCTGTGGGACATTGAGACAGGCCAGCAGACAGTGGGTTTTGCTGGACACAGTGGGGATGTGATGTCCCTGTCCCTGGCCCCTGACGGCCGCACGTTTGTGTCAGGCGCCTGTGACGCCTCTATCAAGCTGTGGGACGTTCGGGATTCCATGTGCCGACAGACTTTCATCGGCCACGAATCTGACATCAACGCGGTGGCTGTGAGTTCCAGGGCGCGCTGGGCCAGGCCTTCCCCAGCAGGCTCCCAGCCCTGCTCCTTGCCCTCACCCCACCCTGGTCCTGTGTCCTGCAGTTCTTCCCCAACGGCTACGCCTTTACCACTGGCTCTGATGACGCCACGTGCCGCCTCTTCGACCTGCGGGCCGATCAGGAGCTCCTCATGTACTCCCACGACAACATCATCTGTGGCATCACCTCTGTTGCCTTCTCTCGCAGCGGCCGGCTGCTGCTCGCTGGCTACGATGACTTCAACTGCAACATCTGGGATGCCATGAAGGGCGACCGTGCAGGTGAGAGCTGGGGTCCCAGACTGATAGGCAGGGACCTGGAGCCTGTGCCAAATTGGTTCTGACATCTCCTTCCTCCCTCACAGGGGTCCTAGCTGGCCACGACAACCGTGTGAGCTGCCTCGGGGTCACCGATGACGGCATGGCTGTGGCCACGGGCTCCTGGGACTCCTTCCTCAAGATCTGGAACTAGTGGCCCCACCCCTGCTGGGCCCAGGCCAGGAGGGACCCTGCCCACGCCCACACTACACTCCGGGGCTGTGGGGCTGGGGGCACTCCCAGCCCCCTTCCCTGGGCCACGGGGCCTTGGGTCCCTGCCCTCCCACCCAAGTTTGGTTCCTCCCGGGGCCCCCACTATGGAGATAAGGGGATGGAATGGGAGAAGAGGAGGGGCAGGAGGCCCTCATCCTTCTGCTGCCCTGGGGTTAGGGCCTCACCCCTCTGGAGGGCCAGAGGCAGGAGGTAAAAACCCCAGGGGCTGGCTTTTTTAAAACTGGTTTTATTTTAATTTTTATTATATTTTCAGTTTTTCCATAAAGGAGCCAATTCCAACTCTGTACCTGGTCTCTGCCCTTGCCGTGTCCTCCTTGCTTCTGGTCTTTGCTGGTTGAGGGCTGCCAGGGGTGGGTAAACCAAGCAGCTTCGGGGAGGGGTTGGTCTGAGTCTCTCTCAGAGCAAAGCTAAATCCCCAGGCCAGAGACTCCCAGAGATAAGCAGCCCGTGTGGGCCCTGCTCGGAGCTCCTAGTTCCCCATTCCCCTCCCCATAGAAGGAGCAGTGGAGGCACAACGGGAGAACACACACCGAGTTTTATTGGGAGAAGGGAGTATTTACAGGAGCAGGTAAAAGACAGGGAAGTCACACAGGGTGGAGAGGGGGTAGGGAGACGGGGGTACAAGGCAGACAGGGAACACAGTGACCCCTGCATCCACCCCAACCCCAGGAAGGGCAGGGGAGCAGCGAGGGCCCAGGAAGACCAGGGCTGGGAAGGACAGCAACAGAGTCTGAGTCCCTGGGCAGGGGGGCTCAGGGGCTTGTAAACATTGACCACTCTCAGAAGGGGATGGGGGTGGGAGAGGGCTCCCCCTATTCTTCCTCACAGGGTTAAGGCCTCTCCAGGCTCATGGGCCCCCTAAGTCCAAAGTCTCTTTAGCTGGGGAGAAGGGGCAGGAAGAGACAGGAAGAGTGCCCCCGCTTCCCCTGCATTGGCTGTGGCAGGGGCGGGGGGCTTACATTCAGTCACAACAGGAGTCTCCCCCACACCTGGCAAGAGGGAAGGGGAGCTGGGGGCCAGCAGCAGCAGACACTCCCCCCGGCCCGTCACCCCTTATTGCTTTAGAGAATATTGTCTTTTCAGGGACGCTAACACTGTGGGAACCAGGGAGAGGCAGGTGGGGGCCCCCCACCCTGAGGCCAGCTTGATCCCCCAACACTGACCCAGTTGCCACTTTGGTGCAAAAAAAAAAAAAAAAAAAAAAAAAAAAAGCAACAAAAAAACCAAACACCATCATCTTTCTGGGGCTAGATGGGGAAAGAAATGGGCCACTCCCCATGTCCCCAGGGCAGGAGGAAGAAATACATTCATGGAGGGAGGCAGCGGCGGAACCTTGCCCTAATACTGCACTCTGAGCAATGAGGTCAATGGGAGGAACTGGATGAGAAACCCAAAAGACAAAACTTAAAATCCAAAATGGGTGGAGACGAACCCAACTAGTGGACCAGGAATAAGAAGTCCGTGAGCAACAGAAGGGGCAGCCTCCCCTGACCCAGGAGCCGCACGCTTCTCTTCACCCCAACCTTAACCCAACGGTAAAAAGCGCATCGCATCAGACCAGGGAGACCGTCCATTCCTCTCCCATTTGGTCAGTAGAGGGATCAGATGCAGAACTGGGTGGTCCACACCCCATGAGCTGGCTACAGGTTGGAGCCCCGGGTGGCAGCCCCTCCACTGCAACCCTAAGCCCAAAGCCACCCACTCCTTGCCTTCGAGGCCCCTCCTGCCCCCTTCACTGGAGGAACAGCTCAGCCTTCTCTCGGCAGCCTCCGGAGCAATCATCCACCCCCGCCGCTCGCAGGGGTGAGGCAGAAGCCAGGCAGGGGTGAGGCGGGGGCTTGTGGCCCAAAGAATACATTCACGTGGCAAGGCAGAGAGCTGGGGCTTTCAGGTTCAAACACAGGGCATCCCCCAAAATGGCAGCGGTGGGGGACGCCCCTCACCAGGACCACAGTCAAGAATCCTGCAGCCCCACCCTGCCAGCCAGAGGTTGGCACGGCCTGTCCCCTCCTATCCCTCAGCCAGCACAGGATGGTAGCCTGGGGAACTGGGGCTGCTCTTCCAATTTGTGCAACTGTCCCCCAAAGCAGCAAAGCCAAGGGGCTACTTTGGCCCCACCCCGGACACCTCGGCCAGCCCCAGCTACGGAAGCTGCTCACAGCGGGTCTGGCAGGCAGAGCTCAGACAGGCCTCCTGTGCAAACTGCTGGCCCCGAGCTTCCAGTTACCCCATGGCCCGCCTTCTGGTGGGGGGTAAGTGTGGCCTTGGGGGCCAGGCAAGACAGGTCCACAGGGCCTGTATCCCCAACTGCCCCAAAATAACAGTGTGTTTTTTCTTTCAGCCTAATAATTTTTTTTTCATTTTTCCTTTTTTCTTAAAAAAAAAACAAAAAACAAAAAAAACAAAAACCCTCTGTGGACCTTCCATTGTCACACCCACTATCCCCGCAGCGGGAAGGGGTGTTTAGAGTCTAGTTAACAATATTTTTGCTTCTACATTTTCTTCAAAGTCGTTTAAAATTAAAAAAAAAAAAAATTAAAAAAAACCCCTCCCCCAGTCTGTAAAGTGCCTCGTGGTGGGTGAGTTAAGGTGCATCGTGTGTTTGTAACAAGTGCTGGGGACCCCGCCCCTGCCTCCTCCTCTGCTCCCTGCAGGAAGCCTGCAGGCTGCGACCCTCAGGTCCACGCCTCCGCTGCCGGCCCTGGCCTACAGCCCAGGGGCTGGGGGTCCGGGCTGGTCAGTAGTCATCCACGCTCTCGATCTCACCAGAAGATCCGTGCAGGGAGTACCCTGAAGCCGGGAAGAAGCTGGGTCTGAGCTCTCTCCTGGGCTCCTCCTGCCCTGGGCCAAGGAAGTCCCGCTCCTGCCCCAGCCCAGCTCACCCAGGATGCTGGGGTCTGAGTGCAGCATCAGCGCCCGCCTCTTGGCCTTGCTGCCCTCTCCAGGGCCGAGTTTGGTGCTGTGGTTGGCCTGGAAGGCCGTCTGCAGGGAGGCGCTGCTCAGCCACGCCTCCTAAGGCAGTGGAGAGGAGGGCGAAGGTCAGGAGGCGCCAGGCAAGCCCACCCCAGCAGCCAGCACCAGGGCCTCACCTGCTGCTGCTGCCGCTGCTGGCTGGCTTTCTGCTTGGCCCTCCGCTCCAGGAATTGTTTGGCAAATTCTTTGGCTTCCAGCGTGTCCCCCAGGCAGGAACGGATATAGTCGTGGACATCATAGGGCGATTCCACCTCCTTGAGGATCGCTACAGCCATGGGCACTGTGGGATGGGTGAAGGCTGTCAGGGCTCCCTGGCCGGGTTAGAAGCCCCAGGCCCCGCCCAACTCCTGGGAGCCTGGCTCGCACCGTCCAGGCTGCCCGTGGCGCTCAGCGTGTGCAGCATCTGCTCGCACCACTGGGTGAAGCCGTCCTGGGGCCTGGGGATGCCCTGCAGCAGCTTCAGCAGCTTCTCTTCTTCCTCTGTCTTTTTGCGAACGGGCCGACCCGACAGGTGACTGTACGAGTCGCTGAAGGGGGTGGGTTGAGTTAGGGTCGGAAATCAGCTGGGGGGAAAGGGGGCAGGGGGCGGAGATCTGCCACCTTCTGCCCCAGGCCCGCCGTGGAGCCTCCAGGTGCCATGCCCACCTGAGAGATGGGCTGCTCCGGCTGTTCTTCATGCCGAGGCCTCGGACCAGGCTCCCGCCACTCTTGGGGGTGTCCTCCCAGAGCCCCAGGCTGCTGCCGCCGCCCCCACTCTTGTCTGGTCCGCCCCACAGCGGCCCAGCCTCAGACACCCACTGGTTCAGGGGGGCAGTGCCCAGGCCCCCAAGCTGCTACAGATGGCAGAAAGTCAGACTAGTTCAAACAAAGGCACCCCAGAAAAGCAGATGGGGAGGCTTGTTTAGATGGCAAACGGAGAGGGGCGAGGCAGGGGCCACAAGAGCCGTCGCCATCACAGGAGGGGCTGGGGCTTGGGCTGCACAAGTCTGGGCTCAGCAATCCCCTCCCTGTGTCATGCTGGAAACCGCATGGGGGGGCCCAGGAGGTTCCTGGCCTGCTCACCACTCGGTGGTTGGGGGCCTGGGCCCGAGCTGGCTCCCGAGGCGGGGGCTGCTTGTGCAGCTGCCGCTCGCCCTCCAGCTGCAACTCCAGCAGCGTCTTCATGGACAGCCCCTGCTTGGCCAGGCCAGCCCAGAGCGGGGGCGGGGAGCTGGGCGCAGGGGGCACGGGGACTGACTGCTGCTGCTGTAACAATTTCAGCAGCAGCTCCTGCTGCCGCACCTAAGAGGGGGACATGGTCAGGGTACACAGTGAGGAGACCCGGCAAGGGCTCTCGCCCTAACCAGCCGAGGCTGGGCAGCACCCACCTGCTTGCGCCGAAACAGCTCTTCCTCCTCCTGCCGCCGCTTCTGCTCCTCCTGCTGCTGGCGGCGCTTCTCCTCCCGGCGCTTACGCTCCTCCTCCTCCCGCTTCGCCCTGAGCTCCACTTCTCTGCGCTCCTGGAACTGAGACCAGTGGCCGATCAAAGGGGAGAGCTGTGGGGACAGACTGGGGACCCTCCTTGGTCCGCCCTTCACTCCCAGGGCCTCAGCCCCAGGACACCTACTCACTTTATGTTGCAGCTGGAGTTGTTCTAGAATTGGACCCTGAGTCGAAGAGTTAATTGGTATGTCCCAAAGACTGGCCTCACCACCTGCAGGGGGCAGGGAGCAGAGGCAGCTGCAGGTGGGCACTGAGGCCCACTGATCCTATCCAGCCACAGCAGTGGCCTCCCCAGCCAGAATGGCGGCTAGGGCACATGCGAGGGTGGGGAGCAGACCCTGCGCCCCAGTTCACCCAAAGACTGCCTGGGCGTTGGGGGCCAGGAAGACCACACACCTGACTGTGATGAGGCTGAGGTATGTATGTCCCAGAGGCGGCCTGAATCCGGCACCGACAAGGACCGGCTTATCGTCGGGAGCAGGTTCTGGTCCCCGCCTCTGAGGAGCAAATCATGGATGCTTAGGACCCCACATGGATCTCTGGTCCGCCCCTGTCCCCCCGCCCTGTATCCTGAGAGTTTGCATGGCCACGCACCTGGGGGGTTTGAGCGCCTGCTGCAGGAACGCCGTGAGCTGCTGCTGCGGTGGCGTCAGGTCCCCCAGAGCTGCCTTTTCCCGGAGCGTGCACTGTGGGAGCTGGCGGCTGCCAACAGGACAGCAGGGGTGATGGGCCACAGAGCCAGTGCCTGGCCCTCCCCCAGCCCACCCCGGGCCCCCATACCTGCTGACCAGCTGGAGAAACTGCTGGTGCTGCAGCTGCTGGTACAAGGCCGCCGCAGCCAGCTCCTGCTGCTGCTTCTTCAGCCGCTCCTGGTCCATGTTGCCCTGCTCAGGCGATAGCTGAGCCAGTGCCTGAGGCACGGAGGAGGGGGCTCCGCTGGGCTCCTGCCCGCCCCCCCACCACAGCCCATCCCTTCATGCAGCGGAGAAACGGCTCACCAGCAGTGGGGGTGGCGAGGGCCCTGGGGCAAAGGGCACGCGGCCCCACATTTTGATCACCTCGCCCAGCGGCTGGAAGCCCTCATCACAGCCCCGCTTCACCAGCAGCGACATGGAGAAGTAGCCGGCCTGGAACCACTCTGCCATCTCCTGTGTTGTGAACGGGCCTGGACAGAGAGTGAGGGAGCGGGAGAATCACTGGGGTCACAGGGTACACCAGAGACACCCTGAACCAGAACGGCCCTAAGCAGTACTCCTGCCCCACACAGGTACCTTGGATCTCGCCCTGTGGATCCTTGTAGAACCACTTCCTGGCAGCTCCGTGGCTGAGCGGGAGGGCAGTGGCGGCTGCAGAGTGGCGCAGGCCCTGGGTCTGCATGGCAGCTGTGAACTGCTCCTCCTCCAAGGAGCTGTCCTGCAGGGAGGCCACCAGCTTCTCCGCCTCCTGGTAGCCCAGGAAGAGAAGCAAGGTTCAGCTGCCAATCTCAGCAAGATCAGGATGGGGATGGGGATGAGAAGGAGCCAGAGCCAGGCAGTTTGGAAGGTCAGGAGCAGTGGGAAGGGTCCCTCCAGCTTTCTCAGCCCCACACCTGCTGCAGGTGCTTCAAGCCTTCATCATCCTCCAGATCTCCGGGTGGGCCAGTGGGGGAGCCCACCCTGGGACTCAGCTGGATCCCCCGAATATCATCTGGAAGGCGTGAAAACAGGAGGTGGAAGGGAAGGCAGGGAGGAGACAAGACAGCCCCCACCCACCCTTACTCCAGAACACCATGCTCTTGCCATGGCTCCTCAATGTAAATGCCCTGTGTGCCCACCCCCATGGGAGGGGAGCGCCTTCTTGTGCAGCCCCAGGGTACCCGGGAGGTAAGCCATCCTCCCTTCCTACCATCGGCTGCTGTGGGGTCTTTCTCCACAACTTCGTCCCCATCCCCGTTTGTCCCCCAGAGTGGGCCCAAGGTGGGCAGCGGGGACGGGGAACCGGGCTTCTCCTCCCGAGGAGGCAGTGAGGTCAGCTCCTTCCCACCTAGAAGACCGAGATGACCAGAATTCAGAAACAAGGGCTGGGCCTGCCACACGAGTTAGCACAAGCCCTCGAGTGTGGCTGGAAGGGACTCACAGTCCCCTGGGCCAAGTCTGCCACTTCACTGGAGTCAACTAGTAGCGGAGCGGGAATGCGGTGCCCCGCCCCTCACCTCCATGCCGCCAGATATGGCAGAACACATCACAGCACTGCACAACACCACACAGCACTGCAGACTTCACCTCAAGTTCTACAGCTTTTTCTTTTTCAAGAGTCAGGGTTTCACCATGTTGGTCAGGCTGGTCTCGAACTCCTGACCTCAGGTGATCCGCCCGCCTCGGCCTCCCAAAGTGCTGGGATTACAGGCGTGAGCCACTGTGCCTGGCCTTCAAGGGATGTTCAAAGGTCATTTTGATTATGCCTGATTTTTATCTGGCACACTGCCTTGAAGACAGGGCTCTGCTGTCCCCTGCTCCTCTCCACCTCTCAGCACTATTATTCCGCTTCAAAGCAGCCTGGCCTGGTTCTACAGGTAAGGTAGGTGGGGAGCCAGCACCCAACCTAGCAAAGAACCCAGGTGCCCACCCGGCCCGGCCCAGCCCAGCCCCAGGCCCAACGGCCGCCCTGAAGGCTCACCCGCCTCAGACCCTTCCTCCTCTAGCCCTTCGGAAGGCTGCTCCTCCTCCTCCTCCTCCAGCCCCTGGAAGTCCAGCTCCTGCTCCTCAGGAATGGGCTCCTTGGGGCCTTTCTGCATGGGGCAGGGAGGGGTCAGAGAACAGCTGGGTGGGCAGGGAGGCAGAGGACCCGGAAGGGCCGGCTCCCACCCTCACCTCTTCACAGATACCTTGAGAGGCAAGAAGGCCCCAGAAGCATCAAAGGTGCCCATTTCTTCATCCTCATCGTCCAGGCACCACTCTGGGAGCCCATCCTTGTCCTCCTCAAAGCCGTCAGTCGCTCGGCACCGCCGCGGGTGAGAGCTGCCTCCCCCTCCCCGCCCCTCCTCTTCACCACACCCTCCTCGATCCCCTCGCAAATCAAATTCAAACTTGCGCCTCCGTTCCCCATGCTCCCGCCAGCCAGCAGAGCGGGGACCACCATCTGCGCAGGAAGAGTTGGAGAGGAGAGTGGGCACCCGAGTGAGGCCGGCGGCCCCTCCCGTGCAGCTCACCAGGTGCCCCAGGAACTACCCGCACCTCCAGGACTGCTCTCCTGGCCACTCCACACCAGCCAGCCTCTGCTCCCTATCTCCCTCCCCACAGGAGCCCACCCTCTCATGACAGTTCCTGGCCCCCACTGCCCCCACCGAAGCCACCAGGCCCCAAGCTTACCAGGGCTGGTGGAGCGCCAGCGGTCACCATCTCGCCGGGGCCCTGCCCCAAGCCTCCAGCTGCCCTCCTCCTCCTCCTCCTGCTCCTCCCGTAGGGAGCGCCAGTTCTCGCTGTCTGAGCGGGCATGCTCCTTCCTTGGGCCAGACCCTCCCTCCTCAAACCCACATCGTGCTGGGGACAGGGGAGAGAGAAGCAGTTATCAGAAAGACAGTGCAGCACCTGGAAGACCCTTAGGAAACATGGGGGGCCAGCTCCAGGCCCTCCTGCCCCAGCACCTCCCGAAATAAACACCTCCCGACTGGGCCCCCCATCTTGGTCATCCCTGCTGCCCTGGCCGCTGCCCTCAGCAGCCTCGTACCTCCATCCCTCCTTGCTGACTTCTCAAACCGCCTCTCGCCTCTGCAGCAGGGAAAGGTGTGGGTCAAAAACAGTACAGCCTCCCCCCAACCCTGCACAACCACTGTGCGCCTTGTCCATTGTGCCCTGAGGCAGCAGAGGGAGGGAGGGAGGGGGAAACTTAAGAAATCAGGGGTCCTCAGGAGCAGAGGGATCTTTGACAGGGCTTATCTGGTGGGCCTCTGTTAACCCTCCAGCGAAAGGACCCAGGCCTCCCTCCATGGCCTGCCCTGCTCTGCGCCGCGCCCCGTCCTGGCCCCACCTGTCATCCCAGCTCTGGCTGCGCTGTATCTCCCGGGGGCTTCGTCCAAAGGCCCCATCGCCTTCTTCGATGCTTCTTTGGTAAAAGCAGCTGTCGCCGCGGCCACGGCCTAGAGAAAGGGTGAGACGCACATTGAAACCTGCTGCACACCCTTGAAGCCGGGGACCCGGATCTCCCCACCCCCAGGACACGCCATCAGCCCTTTACCTCGGCTCCGAGTACTGCCCCTGCCTCGGGAGGTGCCAGCCAGGGGGGGCCCAGCCCCTTTCCCCATCAGCCTCAGCACAGCCACGCTGTTCACTGACAGGGAGAAGTTTCTCTGAGGAGGGAGCCGGGGCAGGAGTGAGGACCCAGACACCCCACCACGCCCTCTCCCACCCCACAGCACCCTCCTGGCCTACCTCCCCAGTGCTGGCCCCTCTCCTAGCCCCATCCATGACCTCCCCGCCTGGCCCGCATGGCCTCAGCTCCTGGCCCGGCCCCACCTGCTCCTCCTCAGTCAGCGGCTCCAGGGCCAGGGGCTGCAGCGGCTCATCCTGCAGCACTGCAGCAAACTCCTTGTCCTGCAGCTCTTCAGGGACCTGGCAGTGGGGTGGGATGGCCAAGACACCACATGCTGCTGGGTCCCCTCCATGGGCCACGGCCATCACAGCCAACCCCCTTCACCCGTGCACCCACCTTGTTCTCCTTGACATAGAGGGCCAGCATCTCCTCTCGCCCGTAGCGGTAGTCAGCCAACTTGTACTTGGGCATGGCAGGGGACGAGGGAGGGGAGGCCACACTGCCGCCCCCAGACAGGGCCCTGAGCCTGGACATGTCACAGAGGGAAAAGGACAGAGATCAGGGCAGCCTGACTGTGCTTCCCCGAGTCTCCATGGCAGCCGAGGCACACGTCACTCACCACTCAGGTCCAAAGTTGAGCGTCTCTGCTGCCATCGTGGGGCTGGGCGTGTTTCCGAGGCCGGGGGTGGGCAGGAGGGGGCCTGGCTTTCTCTCTCCAAACACCTGTCAGGAAACAGGGGCCAGGGAGAATCAAACACTCAGGAGACCTCTACGGCGCGGCGGTGACACCCTGGGGGATATGCTGGTGGGCATGGCAATGGGCCCCGGACAAGCCAGTGAGTTACCTGGGGTCTAAAAGAACTCACCTGAGCCAGCCACACGGCCACTCACACCATGAGTTACCCAGAGACGAGTCCGGACGAGGAAAGACCTGGGGAGGCGAGGAGACGGGCAGCTCGAGTCCTTCCAGCCTCCACGGGGTGACCTCCCTCGGCCGGGGGCTCACCTGGCAGCCTGGCCCGGGAAGCAGGAGGGCAGGCACTGGTGCTGGAGTAAACGAGGGTTCCCAAGCCACTGGGAATTGGTCTGGCCTCAGTAGAGCCCAGGAGGGACCTTCACATCTGGGAAAGACCCTTAAGGAGAGCAGGGGGAGAAGGTGGGGTTCAGGTCATGGCTCTGCCAGCAGTCCTGCCCTGCCCTGCATGACAGAGAGGTCTATGTGCCAAGGGTGGTTTCCGGGCATCAGCACCCTCTCTGGGAGGCTGAGACAGGAGGCCCGACACAGAACTTGGGGAGGGAGGTGGCCAAGGCCAGGATGGACATTCAGGGCAAAAATAAAGCAAAACCAAGCGAGCGGGCACAAACCACTGGGGCCACAGACAGCACAGAGAAAGGCCGGTTACGGAGAGAAAAATCAGAAATAAATTAGGGAGCAAAATTCTTTCTCATAAAAAAATCACAGTTGGCTGCTCAGAGACTCAAATCCAGGGGCTTGGTCTGGGGAAAAACCCGGTGAAAAGGAGCAGGATGTGACTCCAGGGCCATACACGCGTACACACCAAGGACTCCAGGCAGGCGAGCCTGGGCCAGGGCACCTCAGGCTGGTTTCCCCCACAGGAATCACACCCAGACCACCGCCCCCAATCCAGAATGGAGGCTCAAGTAACCAAGCCACCAAGGGAACAAGGATCTTAGGATACCGGCTGGGAAGCAGCCTCTGGCACCATCAGGTGGAAATAAGGTCAGGGTAACGGAGGCTGGTGGGAGCTCGGTGGCAGCCTGTTCCTCTAAGGGATGAAGGAGGGGACTCTCAGGAGGAGGCGCATTCCTGGGGCCCAGGGCAGAGGACACGGGCAGATGGGCTGGGTCCAGGTGCTGCAGAGGTGGAGTCACTGGCTGGGAGGGAGGCTGGCCTGGCACGGTGCTGCAGCTCCCATCAACTCCAGGACGCCGCAGTCTGGGAAAGAAGAGGAAGCGGGTTCCACTAGAGGCAAAAGACGTCACCTCGGCTGAAGCCGAAGCCCACGACAGGCTGAGGCCTGCTCAGAGTCCCAGCAGCCCTGGGGGAGTCACAGCGCTCAGAGGCACCCCAGGCCAAGCTGGCCTCCCCCAGGACCTCTCCCTCCTCAGCCTCCGCTGGACGCCGTGGTGGAGGTGTGCTTCATGCCAGGCAAAGCCACCAGCCTGACACTGACTGCAGGTGGCCTCCTTGAGCAATGTGGGGACTGGATAAGCCTTGCGGAAGTGACGCTAAGTGAAACAGGCCAGCCACAGAAGGAGAGCTACCCCTTACTTCTATTTTGTGAGGTCTCTAGAGCAGTCACACCCATTGCAGGTGGAAGGTAGAAGGGTGGCTGTCAGGGGCTGAGAGGACAGGGAGCGGCTGCTGAAGGGTCCAGAGCGTCAACTGAGGAGGGGAACCGGGGGCCACTGGGGGTCCTGGCTACACTACAGTGTGAGTGTGCTCAGTGCCACAGAGCAGCATCGTTAGAGATAAAATCTCCAAATTTTGTTGCGTATTTTACCACAATAATCACTTTTATAAAAGCTCTAAGGAATAAAAGGTATCTGGAGATAACCAGTGCATACTTAAATTTTCCCCACTCCAAGAAAAACACCCCACATTCCTTCACACCAGCCTCAGGAGAGGCCATTTTGAGCCTCCTCCAGTTCATTCCTTCTAGAAGGCCAGAGTCTGTCCTGGAGTCATGAAGGTGGAAGAGGGCAGAACAGAAAAAGGACTGCCTGGCCAGCACAATGGCTTATGCCTATAATACCAGCACTGTGGGAGGCTTGAAGAGAGGAGTTCGACACCAGCCTGAGTAACAGAGCAAGACCACCACTCTACAGAAACAATTCTAAACATTTCTTGAAAGAGAAAAAGTGGCTGGGCACGGTAGCTCAGGCTTGTAATCCCAGCACTTTGGGAGGCCGAGGCAGGCGATCACCTGAGGTCAGGCATTTGAGACCAGCCTGGCCAATGTGGCAAAACAAAATTTTGCTAAAATACAAAAATTAGTCGGGCATGGTAGCGGGTACCTGTAATCCCAGCTACTCAGAAAGCTGAGGCAGAATTGCTTTGACCTGGCAGGCGGAGGTCGCAGTGAGTCCCTGCACTCCAGCCTGGGCGACAGAGCAAGGCTCTGCCTCAAAAATATTTTTTTTTATTAAAGTGATGGCCTCACCCCCCAACCCACCACCAGGCGCAGCGAGGGCAGCTCTCCTGGGTGCCCTGGGCTTCTCAAGTCACCCATCTGTGTCTTGGCTGCAAGGGGCACACAAAGGGAGAGTGGATCATACAGCCTGAGTACGGCAACACCAAGACAAGGGAGAAGCAGGCAGGGAGAGCAGGCGGAGGGCAGGAAGAAGCCCACACCGCCCGCCTTCTCGGGAAGAAACAAGGAAAATGAGGGTAAGTTTCTGCCCCACTCCCACCCCCAACAGCAGGGCCTGGTGCCAGAAGCTGGTGGTGCCTGGGCCCTTCCTTGGACTAAAGGAAATAGGGATGTCGATATAGGCCACCATGGGGCTCCCACCCTCCAAAAGGTTCTGGACTTGGGGCCCTTCTGCTCCTCAGGGGGCTTCTGGCCAAGTCTGGAGACTTTCTGGGCTGTCACGACTAGCCGAGGTACACAGGGCAGCCCTACAGCCAAGAGCTATGTGACTCCAGACACCAAGTGCGCCAGTGCTGAGGTGCCCGCCTCTGCGCCACGAGCAGGGGCAGGGCCCACTGGGGTCAATGGGGCCAAGGGGAAGGTAAGGGAAGCCGTGTGTGTGTGTGTGTGTGTGTGTGTGTGTGTGTGTGTGTGCTGGGTCATTCTCCTCTCTGAACAGCAGGGACACCATTCCCTAATTACACTGTCCCACAAGGGGAATCTGAATCCTACTAAGAGTAAATCTTTGAGAAAATCATAGATTTCTTTGTTTCCAAGAAAACCTGCCAAAGTTTGTCTGTCACAAACTCTAAAAGCCAGGCATCTGATCCCTGTCTACGGCAAGAGCTGAAGGTGGTGGGGCTGGGGGACTGGCACCTGCCCGCCTCAGCTTTCCTCGATGGGCTTTCCCCGCTCCAGGCCTCCTCCTCACAGGCCCCTTCCAGCCCATCTCCTGCCCTGGCCCTGCCCAGAGTCTCGGCCTACCTTGGCTCCCCGTCCCCTCCCTACCTTCTCTTTCTCTGGCCTGTCTACCCTCACTCCCCAAGCATCTGAATCAATGCTTTTGAAAGACTGCCCCCTGCCGGAGACAAGGGACAAGGACACACTGGGCCCCAGTGCTCCAACAGGCGCCAGGGAGGCCAGGGAGCGGGAAGAGAGCCTGCTCTCCGGGGCTCAGAACTCAAGCGAGAAGGAAAAGACCGAGAACAGGCGGGCCCAGTGCACATTCAGCTAAGAACAGTATCTCCTCACTCCATCACCCCTAAAATTAGCTCCAGCACGGGGCACTGTGCCTTGGCACAGAAGAGCGCCACTTCTTCACAGAAGCAGAGTCCCCAATTCCCCAACACTGGAGTGACCGCCCAGCCCCAGGCCTGCTGGAGGGGACTTGGCCCTTTCTCAGGATGGAGAGTCTCCAAGCGTGGTAGGGTGAGGACGCTGAGGCTTAAAAAAGAGATGCAAGCCCGCATTCCTAGAGGCTGGTCAGTTATCCCAGCTCTCTCCTCTCTGAGCCATCTAAGCAAATCACACCACCACTTGGCAATTGTCTACAAGTTGACCGTTTTCAAAGAATTTTCACTCTTTACGTCCTGTGATTCCCTTTTGCCCACCTGCCCAGCCTTGGGCTCTAGCCAGGGAAAACAAGGAAGGGAAGCTGTTCCGACAGTGTGCCGCGACTTCCCTGACACTCTATTCAAGTCTGGAGAAGGTACACACGGTAGCAGTAATCACCCCAAACTCTCAAAGCATTATTTTCTAAGTCTGAAGCCATTTTACATTTGTTAGACTTTCAACATCCTTCACCTAGCCTCCTCTTCTCACCTTCTCTCCTCTAAAGTGGGGCTTTTTTTTTTTTTTGTAAATTCCTTCTCCCTTGAGTTCTGAGCCCCAAACTCCAACCGCAGATATAAAAGTTAGGACTAACCCATCAGACCACATACAAGACCAATGGGTCCAACAGCTGAAAAACTCAGTCCAAGAAGTTTAAGCAGATGGTCCACTTGACTAACCACCACATGGGACCTTCAGGGCCCCTGGTCCCCAGGCAATGGCAGGGACACAAAGTCCAGGTCTACTCCCAAATCCTTCCCAATGGCATGACAGACTGCCAAGGGACCAAGACCTACAATCTAAGAAAAGCAGACTGGAGCTGGCTAGTCTGCTGGAGGGCGGCTAGCCTGGGTCTGCAAAGGGCACAGGAGAGACGGGAAGGAGACGGACCCCAAATCCTCCACGTAGGCAGCAAAGGAGAGACCCTTACTGGCACCACCGATGGTGTTTCCATGCCAGGAGTTGGCGGGGGTCTAAGTTGAAACTGCTATGTGGACCCGGAGGGCAGTGCAGAGAGGATGAGAAAGCTGATGATCTTCCAGAAGGACACTTTGAGAGGCAGGAGGGAAGGAAGGCTGGGTGGCTGGAAAAAAAAAAATCCAATCCAGCCAACAAGTCTTTATGGAGCATCGCCCAGTGCCGGGCCCTGGGATGCAACAGACCTGGAGGCTGACGGGGAATTCGAGTAATGACAGCACAGCGGAGGAGACGGCCGAGGGGCTTTTAAAAAGTTACTTGGAAATTGTTTTCTCTTTTAAAGGGAAAGCGTGAGCGCTGTGGCCAAGGAGCTGCTGCACGGAGGGGCACGAGCTGGAAAGGGCCTGGCCTGGGGACGGGGAGAGCAAGCAGCCCCTGCCAAGGAAGGTGTTTCCCGCGGCCCGGCAACTGCGAAGAGGGAGACCCCAATGACCCAGCACTAAGGTCGCCGGAGGGAAAGGAAACAGAGGCGAGGAGGACCCAGACGAGGTGCCTGGGTGGAGGGGAAGGCTTCCATGTTGGCCAAAGTCGTGGAACGCTTGGACTTGGGGACCCGCAAGGCCCAGCACGTTCCGAGGGGAACGCAGAGACGCGCTGGGGAGACCTCCAGCGCACGCCGGGCCCAGCCACCCCGGGCCGCTGGGGTCAGGGGCCCCCAGGCGGGCGGGAGCGGCCACGGGCAGAGCTTGGCAGGGGGCCGGGGGCGACCGTTAGGAGCGCGGGGGTGGAAGGCGGCGGGCCGGCCCCGGAGGACGGCGTGCCCTTCAGGAAGGGGCGCCAGGTGCGCGGGGGGCCGGCGGTTGCCCCCCAAGCCGGGCGCCGGCCTCCCGGGGCCTCCCCGAGGCTAGCCGGCTCTAAGGGAGGGTCCGGAGGCGGGGAGGGGCCGGAGCGGGCGGGAGGGCGGGCGGACGCACCAGGCGGCGGCGGCGGGCGGCCTCGGGGAGGAGACGGGGGAGGGTCCTCGCCAGCGGCCCGCGCGCTGGCTCAGGCGCTTCGCTCGCTCGCGGGCTCGGCGCGGCCGCCGCGGCGTCGGGGGCGGGCCTGCCCCGGGGCCGGCTGCGGGCCGGGGGCCGCGGGGCCGCCGGGCGCTTACCGCGGGCGGCGCGAGGGTCAGGTCCCGGGGCGTGGGCGGCGCGCGGCGGGCGGGGGCCGGGGGCAGCGGCGGCGGCGGCGGCGGGGGAGGGGGCGCTGGCGCTCCCGCGGCGGCCGCTCCTCTGTGTTTGTGTTTGTAGCAAGATGGCTGCCCGCCTCGCACCACGTGATGCGGACGCGGGGCCGCCCCCTCCGCCAACGCCGCCGCCGCTGCCGCTGTTGCCGCCGCCGCCGCCGCCGCCTCCCTCCGCCGCTCCGGCCCGCTCCGCCTCGCCTCGTGCGCTCCTCGCGTGCCCCGCTCGCCGCGGCCGGGACACCCGTCGCCCACGACAGCACCCCGCTTCCCGCCCGGGCACGTGACCCGGGCGCCCGGCTGGTCACGTGACGGGGGGGCCCCCAGATGCGGGCGGAGTCGGCCCGGTCGGCCCCGGAGCGGCCCCCTCTCCCCCACCTCCACCGGCCCCGCGACGCGCGACCCTCGGGACGGAGGCCGAGGCCTCCCTGGTGGTCGGCTTCCTCCAGGAAGCCCCCTTGGATGGCAGGAGACAATAAAATCCAGAACTCTTCATCAGGCTTCCTGGGATGTGTGAAATAAGTGGCTCAGGCGGATGAGTTGCCTCTCACGAGCCTCTTTAGTTTTATTATTTTTTAAATTATTGAGACAGAGTATCGCTCTGTCGCCCAGGCTGGAGTGGCGGTGGTGCGATCTCGGCTCACTGCCATCTCTGCCTCCCGGTTTCAAGTGACTCAAGTGATTCTCGTGAGTAGCTGGGTTACAGGCGCATACCACTACGTTCGGCTAATTGTATTATTAGTAGAGACGGGGTTTGCCATGTTGGCCAGACTGGTCTAGAACTCTTGACCTCAAGTGATCCGCCTGCCTCCCCCTCCCAAAGTGCTGGGATTATAGGCGTGAGCCAGCATGCCCAGCCCCTGTTTGTTTATTTTTTTGAAGCAGGATCTCACTCTTGCCCAGCTGCAGTGCACTAGCTCCATCTCGGCCCACAGCAGCCTCCAACTCCAGTGTTTCAAGCGATTCTCCCATCTCAGCCTCCCGAATTGATGGAACTATAGGTGTTCACCACCGTGCCCAGATAACTTTTTTATTCCACGTAAAGATGGTGGTGGAGGGGGGTGTCTCATGACATCGCCCAGGCTGGTTTTGAACTCCTGGCCTGAAGCGATCCTCCTGCCACAGCCTCCTGAGTAGCTGGGACTACAGCTGTGCACCAGCACACTCTAATTTTTAAAATTTACTGTATTTTTTGTTTGTTTTCCAAGACACAGTCTTAGTCGCCCAGGCTGGAGTGCAGTGGTGCCATCAGAGTTCACTGCATCCTCTATCTCCTGGGCTCAAGTAATCCTCCTGCCTCAAGCACCCTGAATAGCTACGACTATTGGGGCACACCACCACGCCCAGCTAATTTTTGTAATTGTTTTGTAGAGACAGAGTTTCCCCCATGTTGCCGAGGCTGGTCTTGAACTCCTGAACTCGAGGGATTCTCCTGTGTCAGCTTCCCAAAGTGCTGAGATTACAGGCGTGAGACACCACACCCGGCCCCATTTTTTTTCTTAATGGCAGATTCCTCTCCAGTGTTTTACTCGGATGAAATGCAAGGAGAGGGTCAGGTGCAGTGGCTTCAAGCACTTTGGGAGGCCAAAGAGGATGGATCACCTGAGAGACCACTCTGGCCAACATGGTGAAACCCCGTGTCTACTAAAAATATAAAAAATTAGCCGGGATTGGTGGAGGGCGCCTGTAATTCCAGCTACTCAGGAGGCTGCAGCAGAAAATTGCTTCAACTGGGAGGCAGAGGTTGCAGAGAGCTGAGATCGTGCCACTGCACTCCAGCCTAGGTGACAGAGCAAGCCTTCTTGTCAAAAAGAAAGAAATGCAAGGAGATAAGGACTGTCTTGTCAGATTGGTTTATTATGGAGCTTGTCTTCACCCACCTAAGTTTCGAGCCTTAATATTTATCTGGATATCAGAGTTTGCAAAACATATTTTAGGTACCACAAAAAGAGACACGACCTGAGTAATGAAGTGATAGCTCATAAACCGTGCTTATTGTTTGTTTTGTTTTGTTTTGTTTTGTTTTGTTTGAGACGGAGTTTTCGCTCGTTACCCAGGCTGGAGTGCAATGGCGCGATCTCGGCTCACCGCAACCTCCACCTCCTGGGTTCAGGCAATTCTCCTGCCTCAGCCTCCTGAGTAGCTGGGATTACAGGCACGCGCCACCATGCCCAGCTAATTTTTTGTATTTTGAGTAGAGACGGGGTTTCACCATGTTGACCAGGATGGTCTCGATCTCTTGACCTCGTGATCCACCCGCCTCGGCCTCCCAAAGTGCTGGGATTACAGGCTTGAGCCACCGCGCCCGGCAGTGCTTATTGTTAATTATCAGACATAATGGGCCTTAATTTATTGCATTCAGAATTTACTTTCGGCCCTGAGCTAAGTTCTTTGCTCAACCAAATATAACTGCGTTTTAAGTCACCAATGACCTCCACATTGTGAAATCTACTGGTCCATTATCTTATATGACCTGTCACCAGCCAGTGACACAGACGGTCGCTCCCTCCGGAAATGCCGTCTTCACCTGGCTCTCAGGACACTATACTCTGTTGGTTTTCTTCCCACCTCACTAGGTGCTATTTCTCAGACTGTGACTGATTCCTCCTCTTCTCCCCATCCTCCCAGAGCTCAGTCCTTCAACACCTCCCCATTGGGACAGGCTATGGGTTGGGTACAGTGGCTCACATCTGTAAACCCAGCACTTTGGGAGGCCAAAGCAGGAGGACTGCTTGAGTCCAGGAATTCAAGAGCAGCCTGCACAACATGGTGAAACCCCATTTCTACAAAAAATGCAAAATTAGTCAGGCGTGGTGGTGTGTGCATGTAGTCCCAGGTACTTGGGAGGCTGAGGTGGGAGGATTGCTTAAGCCAGGGAGGCGGAGGTTGCAGTAAGTGGAGATCAAGCCACTGCACTCTAGCCTGGGTGGCAGAGCCAGACCCTGTCTCAAAAAAAAAAAAAAAAAAAAAAGGGAACAGCCTGGGTGCAGTGGCTCACACCTGTAATCCCAGCACTTTGGGAGTCTGAGGCAGGTGGATCACAAGGTCAGGAGTTCAAGACCAGCCTGACCAACAGGGTGAAACCTCATCTCTACTAAAATACAAAAATTAGCCAGGTGTGGTGACGGGCACCTGTAATCTCAGCTATTCAGGAGACAGGCCTGAACCCGAGAGTCGGAGGTTTCAGTGAACCGAGATCATACCACTGCACTCCAGCCTGGGTGACAGAGCAAGACTCCGTCTCAAAAAAAGGAAACAGGACATGAGACCCACTGCTAAACATTCCTGTCTCTACCCAACCATTACTTCCTCTGGGAAAACCTTGATCCCTCAAGATGATATTGGCTGTCTCTTCTTGGGGATCCATCCAATCCTATTCATGTCCCCTCCCTTGGCACAGCTCACGCGGTCATGCTCATCTTGTCGTGCACACTGTGAGCAGTTTAGCACAGTATTATGTAATCTAACTGGTATGCTAGCAGCCTAACATGTCACCTTGATCCATTCCTTATAGCTGTGTAATATTCCATGGGATGGATGTGCCATAGACCGTTTACCATGCACTGATTGAAAGTTATCTGGAGGCCAGTGGCTCAGGCCTGCAGTCCCAGCACTTTGGGAGGCTGAGGCGGGAGGAATAAGTACAGGAGTTTGAGACCAGCCTGGGCAACATAGGGAGATCCCTATCTCTACATAATAAATTAATATGAAAAGAAAGCCGTCTGAGTTGCTTCCAGTTTGAGCTATTACAAATAAAAACACTGCTGGGCGAGGTGGCTCACACCTGTAATCCCAGCACTTTGGGAGGCCAAGGCAGGCGGATCATGAGGTCAGAAGATAGAGACCATCCTGGCTGACATGGTGAAACCCCATCTCTACTAAAAATACAAAAAATTAGTCAGGCATGGTGGCGTGCACCTGTAGTCCCAGCTACTCAGGAGGCTGAGGCGGGAGAATCACTTGAGCCCTAGAGGCCGAGGTTGTAGTGAGCCAAGATCACACCACTGCACTCCAGCCTGGGGAACAGAGCAAGACTCTATCTTAAAAAAAATAAATGCTATGGACGTTTATGTACAGGTTTTTAAATGCCAAGAAATATTCTTGTTGGGTCATGTGGTAAGTGTACATTTAATTTTAGAAGGAACTGCCAAACTGTTTTCTAGGATGACTGTATGATTTTACACTTCCACAAGCAGCGGATGAGAGATCCAGTTTCCCTGCATTCTCATCCACACTTGGTATTGTCAGGATTTTGTATTTCAGCCATTTCAATACCTGTTATTTGTAGCTCCTCATGGTTTTCCTGTGTATTTCCTTAATAGCCAGTGATATTGAACATCTTATGATGACTTATTTACCATTCTTATACTCTCACTGAAATATCCGTTCAAGATTTGCCCATTTTTTCTTTCTTTCTTTTTTTCTTCTTTCTTCTTCTTTTTTTTTTTTTTTTACTTGAGACAGAGTTTTGCTCTGTTGCCTAGGCTGGAGTATAATCGTATGATCTCAGCTCACTGCAACCTCTGCCTTCTGAGTTCAAGTGATTTTCATGTCTCAGCTTCCCAAGGAGCTGGGATTACAGGCATCCACCACCACACCCAGCTAATTTTTGTATTTTTAGTTGAGACAGGGTTTCACCATGTTGGCCAGGCTGGTTTTGAATTCTTAGCCTCAAGTGATCTGCCCACCTCGGCCTCCCAAAGTGCTGGGATTACAGGTAAGA